GCATGCAGGACTGCATCTCCTTCCTGTCTGTCATTTGGTTTTGTTTTTCTGCATCTCCAATCCAACATGTTCATTTAATTGACCCGTTGTATTATTTTTAAAAGAAGACCTAAAATCAAGAATCCAAGTTTGTGTATACGTTTAATTCCAGCACCTGCAGAAGATTGCAGGAGTAAAAAACTATTTTTTCCTTTTAGCATGTATAAACTAATAACAAAAGGAAGTCTTTGTGTGCAGTTTAGAGCTGTCATTTCTAACCCGGGCCCGAAGCTCGTCCCGTCCCGACCCAAATGTGGGCCTGGTCCAGGCCGGAACATAATAATGTGCTGAATGAGCGGGCAGGGTCGGTGTCGGGCTTTTGATTTCATCAGCAGATCAGCCGCGATCCAATTATATGGTAACATGGCTTGCCATGTTTTCACTAGTCGCAAGCAGCCATTTCACCACAAACTGACCGGCCTTGAAAGAGGTAAAATAAATTCAGTTAAGCTTCAGATGGGACTATACTACCAGGAAGAGATCTATCGCCCAAATGGATGTTCATTCAGCCGCTGCACTCAGCGGACGTGCGCGGCCGACGACCCAAGCAGGTGAGATCCCAAAGCAGACGTGTCAGAGCAGCGTTCATGTCTGAATAATGGAGAATGCAGGCAGAAGCAGGGACTTAATGTGCTTTGACGGCCATGAAAGCACAAACACCCCCTCAGCTCCGATCTTCTGCCCCTTTTATTCAGCCGCACACATTTGCTGACCATTAATAACTATGTACGCAGCCAAAGCTTAATTAAAAATGTTGAGGTTTTTTTCAGGTTCTGACCTATAATTACTGTTAATTCATCGGGTCGGGTGGGGTTCGGAAATGATGGCTACGGGCTGGGGCCGGGCCGGATCAGCTTTTTTGGGCCCGAAAGCAACTCTAGTGCAGTTAGTATGAGATAATTTACAAAAACACTACCGGTAATTATGTCACAAAGTAGTAAAATATGAATAACTTTGACACAAGTTCTACTTGTGTCAAAACTTCTAGTGAAGTTTTTGAAAAACTTAAAAGCAGCACATAAAACGTCCATAATTCAAACAAGAATAGATTTGCATTTTATTTGGTTATTATTTGGAGAAACAAAGCAATCTATTTGAGATAAACCCGTTACATTTAGAGGAATTATCTAGAAGCTTTGAAACAATTCAAAACTGCTTTAAAATGCAGGTTTGTTAAACAGAAACATCAAATTTATTAAATTTATTAAGGATGTTAACGTTAATGCAACCAACAATAAATAAATACGCAAATCTAATGCAATTGTTTTTGACACATATACTTCACATTTCTTAATCGAGCCCAACTTTATAGTCTAAAAATAAAACGGTTTTATCACATATCTAAGAAGAAACTTGAAGTCACACACCACTGACAGAGCAGATCTCTGCACTTCACTTCACGAGACAGAAAACTTTTCACAGTTTGACAAGGAACTGAACAGCACAGCAAAAAAAAAAAAATACAAATAAAAAAAGTCACCGAAAGAGCACAGCATCAAACATCAAACCAACCCGAAACATGCAACTGGTTCTTTCATGCAAAACAGAATGTTTGGGAAGGTGAGGCACCCAAATAGGGGTGCAAAACAAAATTGCTTTATTAAATAGTCTAGATTCTCAGTCCTGGCGATTCTAAATAGATTCCAAAAGCCCCAAAATTGATTTTAAAATGTGTTCAAATGTGTTAAGTTTTGATTTTTTTTCCCGCTCCTACTCCCGAGCGTACAGCATATCGCATTACATGTCCCGTCACCATAGAATTTGACCTTGTAGGCCACCGTACAGCAAGCTAGTTAGCCTGCTCCCTTTATCTAAATGGAGTCTGCTAGCATGCAGCGGAGGACAGACACGCTCCTTCGTCGTTCAAAGTCGGTGTAAAGTCATTTCAGATTCTACAATGTTCCAAGGAAGACGGAGCTTGACAAAAGCACGGTTATTTGCAAGAATTGTAAATTAAAAATGCGGTACTATATTTTGGAAATACGACAAATGTGCGGGAGGAAGATGAAAAGTGAAGCAGCAGACCAGCGACAACAAACTTCCACCTAATTCTCCTAGCAGGGCTGCGAACATTTCCCGACTCCATCACTTGCTATATCACAAAGGATTACGAGCAGACAGCTCAGTCGAAGGAGAGGGATTCAGATTTATTTTTAATATGCTGGACCCAAAGTACATTATTCCTTCAAGTAGCTTTGTAGTGATGAAGCTGCACCACAACTCCACCACAAAACAAAAATAAAGTGGGAGAAGCTCTCATTAATGTTACCAGCTGGATGCAGCTCAAAGGTAACTGGTGTTTTCATATTATAAATACTAATAGACAAGTTATACAAAAAACCTTAATGTAATTTGTCTTTATAACAGGTTGAAGAGGCCAGATGAGACATCGCCTGGAGCCAGTTCTAAATGATAAATGTAGATGGTTTATAAATTACAGTTCAGAAGAGTTTTTGTGCAGGGTTGCACAGGTTTTGAAATTTTGTTAAGAGATTTACCAAATATGAATCAATATGATTAAGACTGTGAAGTCTGTGTATTTCATATTAGATTAAGTTTTGAAAATATAACAAATGTTAGAGCAATATTGTTAAAGTCCTTGTTTACTTTTGTATTTATAGACTTTGAATTATTTGTCTTTGATGGACTGGAGACCTGTCCAGGTGTCCCCCGCCTCTCGCACAGTGACTGCTGGACATGGACACCAGTGACCCCCGTGACTCGAAAAGGAAGAAGTGGGTAAAGATGATTGATGGATGGATTGATGAATTATTTGTTCCTAGATTTTTTATTTTATTTTAGAAAAAGCCAGGCAGCTAAGCTAACCTATTACTGGTAATTTAAGTTACATAATGTTATGTACTCCTATATTTGTTCCTGATTTTGGTATAAATGGAAAAATATTTAAAATGTTAAAAACATTTATATTACATTAAGGAACTTAAAATTATTGTTTTAAATAAATGTTCTATTCGTTTACATTGTTGTTTAATCTTTTCATCTTGTCAATTATATAACTGAAACTAAATGTATGACCATTAACCCCCACCACCTGCTCCCTAAACAGGTCTCTCTTGAAAATGAGTTCTCGTGGCTCAATGAGACTACCTGGATAAATAAAGGCTAAATGAAAAAAAAAAAAGATTTTGAATCGAATCGTGACACCAAAAATCAGAATCGAATCACCAGACACTGAGATTCGCACCCCTACACCCAAAACAGAGAGCAACAAGAAGAAAGAGGAAAAGGACAGACAGCATCTCTTCTACTTCTCTTCTCTTCTCGTACGTTCGTGTAAACACGGTTCAGCGTGTTGTTTCCACGTGTTAGTAATGCAACACGATGATAAAACCTTTAGATTTACGTGATTAAAGTCACCAGCGACCATGTAAAGAGCCTCAGGGTGTTTGCTTTGCAACAAGCTAAAATGATCATGCAGCTCCTGCAGAGCGTCTGTAGCATTAGCATCTGGAGCTATGTAAACAACTGTTATGAACACCACTGTGAACTCGTGGGGTTGATAATGTGGTCGACATTTCACTGGTAGCTGCTCCAAAGCCTTGGAGCATGAGCTGTTTATAAGAGTAAAGATTGTGCACCAACTTCTACTCAAGTAAATGCATACTTCGCCTCCCCGTGACTTTCCTGTTAGCTCGCTGCAGTGGTCCGCGCAAAAAACAGTCTGTTGTCCAGCTGGAACGCTGAGTCAGGCATGTCGCTGTCAAACCATGATTTCTTGAGACGATGCACTACGCACTTCCTCGTCTCCTCTGAGGCACCCGTTCTCAGATGAAGCAAATAAACAATAAAAACAATAAAACAAACAATAAAAAGTGGACATCCAAGGACATGAAAACCTGCCTGGTTCTAAAGAGGAAGGCTTTCTTAAAAGGAGATATGCCACAGGTGAAAGGATTGCAAAAGGAGTTTAAGGCAAAGACAGCAAAAATAGAGTGTAAGAAAAAAAAAGAAAGTTAATTTTAGGAAACCCAAGGGATGCATGGCAGGGTCTAATGATGGGCAGGGTTTCCAAGCTTGCATCAGTAGACTGCTTGGACCCAACATCCTTTGCAGAACAACTTCACCAGATTCAACAGCAATTCCACTCCAACTAGCTGGGTCCCACAAATTACCAACACCACTCTCAAAGACATTATTATTGATGAACGGCTCGTCTCTTCCATCCTGCATGGAGTTAACCCACACAAGGCTCCTGGTCCTGACAAACTCAGAGGTAGAGTGCTGAAGGAGTGTTCCATACAGCTAACTGGGCCCCTTACTAAACTGTTCCAGAAGCTACTCGATTCTGGTTGTGTCCCCAATCAATGGAGGGAATTCCACATTGTGCCAATCCCCAAGAAGACACAAGCCAAAGACCTAAAGTATTACAGACCAGTGGCATTAACATCAATTTTGAGCAAATGTATGGAGAGTGGTGTGTGAGCAACTGGCTGACATGGTGGCTGACAAACTGGATCCATTACAATTTGTCTACAAACCAAGATGTGGTGTGGAGGATGCAACACAACTAAAAAAATAACAGCAAAAGAAGAAAAAAGGAAGGGTGGGCAAAGGAAACAAGAGAATGTCACAGGACAGGAGAGGTGAGTGCAGGGAGAGGGTCTGGTGTGAAGGCAAAGAGTTTGTTTTACCTGTTTGTTGAGTCCTAACATGTTGCAGACCATATCTCTCGAGTATGGCTGTTCTAGCACATATCGAAGCAGCCCTGTCTGTGGCTCAAACAGATCCTACACACAAAAACACAAAAATAATATCACAGTTCCACATGATAAGACACATGAAGAGGGTAAGAATCTGGAGAGTGAACAAATGTTACTTTGTCATAAGGCAGCATGCCCTTCAGAGGGAATCGGAGCGTTGTGGGGTCCAGTTTCCAGGAGTTACAGATGGCCCCGCTGTTATTCACAACTGGCAACAGACTACATCGACCTGCAGGACACAGGCAACAACACAACTTGAAGTCAAATAGGAAAAACAAATACAAATGCAACATCAAGACACAACTACAGAATAATGTATTTTATGTTTACATCCTGGTTCAAACTACACAAAGGGTCTTGAGATGATCGCTAGAGATCACATTACATTTCAAAACGATTTCTAAGTGCAGGCTTTCATCATAATTGTTACAAGAGATTTTAAAAATGTCATCAATACTAGATAAAATAGTGGGATGGTTGTCGTTATGCTTTTGTTTAATTAGCTTATTATCAAATACCTGTGTACTATAAAACAAGTGATACAGAGAGAATCTTGAGTCTCTGCTACTGTTTTCTTGTGAATCAAAAGCTGAAATTTTTGAGACAGAACAGAACAAAAACAAGATTTTCTAAAATTTGTCCCTCAATAAAGAAATTCAAACCACAAATGTAGAGAATGTGATCTGAGCATCAGTCGTTACAAAGATCACACATTGAAACATCTAAGCAAAAAAATTACTAAGGCAGTATAAAATAAAACATTAACAAATCAGGTAAACAACATTATCAGTTTATCATTGTACTTTTTGAATGTAGCCAATAGAAGCATGGAGATGATCCATAAAGACATGGTGATCAGTTCAAATGAATAACTTCTGCTGATCTGAATTCATCTACAGACCTTTGGCACATCTACATAGATCTGTATAAAAACCATCACCATGGCACGTTTCTCTGGGCTTGACCTGAAGTTTGGATCTGTTTAGTTTTCTTTAAAATGTTAACCCTATCAAAAACACTGCTAACTAGGGGTGCACAGCCTCGATTTCCTGATTTTTAGGAGATCAGAGATCGGCCGATACTTACACGAGAAACTGATTTTATGTAGTTTTAACAATTGTCTAAAACTTCATTTATATTTCAGAGCACTACCTCATGGCCAGTTAAAAGAAGTTTGTATTGTTTCTGGGATATTGTTCAAGGATATGTTTTTCAATAAAATAATAGTGGAAAATTGAAGGTGCATTGTGACCTTATAACACCTGATAGTGCCGCTTGTAAAACAAAATCGGTATCGGCCAAAATCGGAATTGGCAAGTCAGACTTTTTAGAGATCAGCCAGAAAACTGCAATCGGCACACCCCCACAGGTAACTAAAGCTTTAGGACGTGATTTATAATTTTAATTCTTGCAGCTTGTCTAAGCACCCCCCCACCCCCACCCCCCACCCTAAAACAAGCACTAGAGGTGGGAATTAATTTATTTAGTTTTCTCAGGTAAACTGTATACCTTTAAATCTTGATACAAAAGCCGAAGGCTTTTAAACACCAAAATGACAGGAGCTAATGGCAACAAGAGGTTATCAAGGGAGAAGAAAAAAATGACACAAACATAAAAAAAGTATAAATACAAACTGCTGTGACATGCAGTTTTTACCAATTTCGAAGAACTCCCCTTTGCCTTAGGCTTTACGCTACTCAATAACACACAAATACAAGTTTAAAAAGTCAAGATGTTATTCAATTCAATTCAATTGTTTATTTATATAGAGCCAAGTCACAACAGAAGTCATCTCAGGGCACTGGACAGAAATATTAATGTATAAAAATAATATTAATAGAAACGTTCATTTAAAAATAACGAGTTCATACTATTTATGTGAGGAGCAGACTGCTTTGAATTGAACTCCATCACAGAACTCTCATCTTGAGCAGCAAGCATGAAGGTGACAGTGGAAAGGAAAAACTCCCTCACGAGAAAGAAACCTTTGGCAGAACCAGGCTCAGGACAAGCGGCCAATCTGCTTCATCCGACTGGGTTTGGTTTAAGTATTTTAATTTTCATCACACTCAAATCATTTTGACTGGATGAATTGAAACACTTTGAGTTATCTTATAAAAACACGTGCAAAGCACAAATAGTGGGAGTGGTGGCAGCAGTGCAGAGATTAGGGAGGGTGGGTCTGTGATAAGAGGGTTACCGGTCAACTCCCCGGACCGACAACATCAAAATGTGGGTGGAAAAGGTGAAACACCAACACCTGCCTCCACCCTCATTTGCCCCAGCTGCTCCCTGGGCATCTTAGATGGCAGCTTCACATGTGTGCTCACATGTGCAATGGGAAAAATGCAGCAAATGAATTTTCTCATTGGGGATTAATAAAGTACAATACAAATAAATCAATAAATAAACAAACAGCAACTTTCCAAAGCTTGAATTGTTTCAACTTTACCAAAGTCCTAATTTAAAGACTATAAGAGTGAGTGTTACGAGTGTGTTTGAGTCTTACCACAAATGGAGTTGATTTTGGCTGTTGGTCTGAAACTGTCCACAAAGTCTGAGATTAAACTCCCTAAAAGCTGCAAAACAACAAGTTTTCAATACACAGTGACAAAATTGTGTATTTGAATTAAAAAATGGAAACAAAATCACCCACTTACCCAGTGTGAGAGTTGTCCTTCTGGATATAATTTTCTGATTTCTGTGACAGCAAAGTAGGCTGGCAGGAGGCAGGCATTTCTGTCCAGAATATATTCAACCACCTGGAACACAAGCACACTTAAAAGCTAACAAAACTGAAAATATGTTATAGTTAAAATATAAGTATTCAAAAAATAAAGACAAAAATTACAAATATGTAAATTAAAAATGTAAAACATAAATAGATGATTACATCTTTAGCAGCCAGAAGCTGCTGGACTTTTGCAGTGCTGACGGTGGTAGGAATAGTTTGGATTTTATCCAGCATGGCTTTCAGAAGGTCACGAACACCCTGAAACATGGATCAAAACTCAAGTGGTGTTTTAAAATTCTACACTCTGCAGCATCTGACAATTTAGGTCAGTGTACAACATTTCATCTAGCAGAAGTTTCCCAGAGAAATACTAAGTATTATAGACTTGACCACTAATAAATATGTACAGGTCTCTCGCTACTTCGCGGTTCGACTTTCGCGGACTCGCTTTGTCACGTTTTATTCAACGATTGTCAACTTTAATATTACTCACATGATTGGGACAGTACAAAATAAAAAGTTAATGGGAAAAAAAAACATAGGACAGGCGCCACCATTTTGTAGTTTTCTTTCAATAAGCCTACACTGTAAAGCCAATCAAAAGAAATACACTACCCAGAAGCCAACAGTGCTTCCGGCTGCTGTTTTCTGACGAAATGAAGGGAAAGTTTTGCAACGCCAATCTACGCTATCTATTAGTGTTTTTCGATACCATGATTTCTGGTCTGATAATGATACTGGGTAAAATTCAGGCTAGTATTGGCAATATAGATACTGATACTTTGTGCAAATATGCCTAATGTGTCAGGTAAACCTAAAAAAGCAGTGTATTTCAAATTAAAGTTGCATAAAGAATGCAAGACATCAAAGTTATTTATTTATTTTAAACTCAGGAGTACGTTGAGGTAGTGGCCTCATTTACAATATAGCTGAGCTTAAACAACAGAAAATAACAGGACACAATCATACATTGTACAAACTATGTGAAAATGGTGTTTCAAACACTAAAAATAAGAAAATAAGGAAAATCATAAAACTATTAAAATAAATTGAATATCTTTTAAACAATAATGTTTTAAAGATATGTTATATTTTTATCCATATTTTATAGTATATATTTTTCAGGGTTCATGAAGGCTGATTTATCTCCATTGCGATGTTTAATTTGATGACACCTGGTCTATGTAATTCACTTTAAATGATCAATTCTTTAAGAAACCTTACCTGAATAAATCTTTTTTTTGCCCATTATATCAGTGATACACATATTATTACTCCAAACTGAAATCATGCAACTATTTTTTTGAAGCAGGAATTTATTTTGTTACTTATTTCATAACCATATGTACTAGTTTGAACAACTCCGTAAAGCTAGAACTTGAAATTATAAATGTTTTATATCACTTTACATTATTCATCTTTAATTGAGGAGAATTAAAATAACCCCAGGTTCCTTTTCAGCAAGTCTAATGACAAATCCTGTCTCTGTTGATTCATGTATCCCTACAACTACAATCCGGATTCCAAAAAAATTTGGGACACTAAACAAATTGTGAATAAAAACTGAATGCAATGATGTGGAGGTGCCAACATCTAATATTTTATTCAGAATAGAACACAAATCACAGATCAAAAGTTTAAACTGAGAGAATGTATCATTTTAAGGGAAAAATCAGTTGTTTCCAAATTTCATGGCATCAACAAATCCCCAAAAAGTTGAGACAGGTCCACTTTTACCACTGTGTGGCATCCCCCCTTCTTCTTACAACACTCAACAGACGTCTGGGGACAGAGGAGACCAGTTTCTCAAGTTTAGAAATAGGAATGCTCTCCCATTCATGTCTAATACAGACCTCTAACTGTTCAATCGTCTTGGGCCTTCTTTGTCGCACCTTCCTCTTTATGATGCGCCAAATGTTCTCTATAGGTGAAAGATCTGGACTGCAGGCTGGACATTTCAGTACTCGGATCCTTCTCCTACGTAGCCATGATGTTGTGATTGCTGCAGAATGTGGTCTGGCATTATCGTGTTGAAAAATGCAGGGTCTTCCCTGAAAGAGATGACGTCTAGATGGGAGCATATGTTGTTCTAGAACCTGAACATAGTTCTCTGCATTAATGGTGCCTTTCCAGACATGCAAGCTGCCCATGCCACAAGCGCTCATGCAACCCCATACCATCAATGATGCAGGCTTCTGGACGGAGCATTGATAACAACTTGGGCTATCCTTGTCCTCTCTGGTCCGGATGACATGGCGTCCCAGTGTTCCATAAAGCACTTCAAATCGTGACTCATCTGACCACAGAACAGTCTTCCATTTTGCCACACTCCATTTTAAATGACCCCTGGTCCAGTGCAAACATCTGAGCTTGTGGAGCTTGCTTAGAAATGGCTTCCTCTTTGCACTGTAGAGTTTCAGCTGGCAACGGCAGATGGCACGGTGGATTGTGTTCACTGACAATGCTTTCTGGAAGTATTCCTGAGCCCATTCTGTTATTTCCTTGACAGTGGCATTCCTGTTTGAGGTGCAGTGACGTTTAAGGGCCCGGAGATCACGAGCATCCAGTAGAGTTTTACGGCCTTGACCCTTACGCACAGCGATTGTTCCAGATTCTCTAAATCTTTTGATGATGTTATGCACAGTTGATGATGATAACTTAAGTCTTTGCTATTTTACGCTGGGTAACACCATTCTGGTATTGCTGCACTATCTTTCTGCGCAACAATGGTGGAATTGGTGATCCTCTTACCATCTTGGCTTCTGAGAGACACTGACACTCTGAGAAGCTCTTTTTATACCCACTCATGTTGTCAATTGACCTAATTAGTGTTAATTGGTCTTCCAGCTGTTCGTTATATGCGCAATTTCCTTTTTCCAGCCACTTATTGCTACTTGTCCCAACTTTTTTGGGATTTGTTGACACTGTGAAATTTTGAATCAACATATTTTCCTTTAAAATGTTACATTTACTCAGATTAAAGTTTTGATCCGTCATCTATGTTATATTACGAATAAAATATTGACATTTGCCATCTCCACATCATTGCATTCAGTTTTTATTCACAATTTGTTTAGTGTCCCTACTTTTTTGGAATCCGGTTTGTACACAGGGTCCCAGTTACACCCATAAATAGGAAAAATAAAAAGTGTAAAAACAGTACATGTGCTTGTGTTAGACACCTTGTCATCCACGCCTCCGATGATTTTGCGAATCAGTTTGAAAAGTAAAGCCCACAGCTGTGTCTTTTCCCACTCCAAACTATCAGAGCTGATGAGAGCAACACATACCATCCTAAAACAAAACAGACTCATTAAATGACAACCAAGAAGAAGAAAAAAAAGATTTGCTGCACAGGCCATCATCAGTGTAAGCTTTAACCACAATACATAATTACTTAATATACTATCAAAAATACATAAACTGGTTTATTTTATATAATGAGTGAGTGTTTGGACCTGGGTGGTAACAAACTGGTCTCCACAGCCATCGCTAGACAGTCGTACAAGAACGCAATTATTTTGGGACTGTGCTGACTGTGTATGAATCGTACTATCCATTGCACACATTGTTCATGAGACTCCTACAAATGAAAAAAAGAAAAACAATTAGGCTATTGATAAAACTCTGCCATCAAGTTTTGATGTGTGTTGGTGTAAAACCTGTGGCAGGGTTTCCCAGTACTGTCTAAAGGCTCCAAGAGAGTTGATCAGTTTAGTCCTCTCATCCTTGGGAGAGTCCGTGAACATCCTACCAGCACAAATTATATTTACAACCAAAACTCTTTTCTTAATTGGAACATTTGTATAATACTGATGTTTTTACCAAACCCTAAAACCCAGTGACTAGTATTTAAATACTGTATTAACACAATTTTGTATGTTTAAATATGTAATTAATAGGTACAAAATGAATGATCCTCCTTACCCTGCAAAAGCCTCTTCTATCAACTCAGTTTTCTGTCAAAGGAAAAGTAATATTTAAGTGAAAAGACACAAGCATATTAAAAGCAAAGTTATAATGAGATTTAATTTTAAAGCTAATGTGATATTAGAGGTGAAAGGTTAATCAGATTTGTTTAAAAATGTGACAGATGTTTTCTAATATTTACAAAGACTATAATTTGTAAATTAAAAACAGGGACATAACAGTTTTAAAATGTCAAAAAAAAAGTAGGCCCTTAGATGTAAATTCAAGCTTTTTTAGTTGGTTGTCTTAAGTAATGGTTGAAGCAGATGGCTGCTTGTCCTGAGCCTGGTTCTGCTGGAGGTTTCTTCTTCATGAGGGAGTTTTTCCTCTATTGCCCTCATACTTGCTCAAGATGAGTCTGCAATGAAGTTAGACTCAAAGCAGTCTGCTCCTCAGATAAATAATATTAACTTACTTTTTATACTGTATATATGAATGCTTCCATTCAGTGCCCTGAGATGGCTTCTGTTGTGACTTGGTGCTAAAGAAATAAACTGGAAGTTTTTTAGTTTTTTTGTAGGGGTGGGGGTGTTTGCGCCACAGATATCATATAAACACTAGATCCCCCATTGGCTGTTGGGGTGCAGGAAATGTGGCCGCCATCTTGCAGGAAATTCAGCCGCCATCTTGGAGCGGTCGTCCTTATTTGGTTCAAGCAGAAGATGTTTCAGCACTTCGCAGCTTATTTCTGTTCTAATCGACGGACTGTTGACGTCAGGTCTCGGGGGATAACTTTTCACAAGTAAGATGAACATATTATTGTTAGTATTTTGTGAATAGAATATTACTGTATTGTATTTATGTCCACCAGCTGATGATGTTCAGTGTAACACGGTGTTCAGCTGCAATGAAGCTGACTGAGATCTGATGACAGGAATATTTTTCTAACAAGCATACTCACAATTTCAGTAGCTTTGGATCATTATCATGATCAACCGATATGCATCAGAATTGGAGTTTTGTTCTAAGAAATTTAAAAATTAAAAATAGGGAGAATATAGGAAGTATCCAACATTTTTCAGTCAGGTCATCTGGACAGTTTCTTTTTTTGTGCTGAAACATTTCACCTTCAATCCAGAAGGCTTCATCAGTCAAGGAAACACACAACACAAAACTGATTCTTCCCCCAACAGCTTACTCCAAAGTGGAACAAACCAGTTCTGCTTGTGATAAGATGGATGTGATAAGATGGGGTTGACTGATGAAGCCTTCCAGATCAAAGGCGAAACGTTTCAGCACAAAAAAAGAAACCATCCAGATGACCTGACTGAAAAAAATTGGATTGTATACCTGGATTATTGAGCATGGACTTTGTTGTTTTCAACCAGTTTGACACGACTGTCAACAAGGAAGAGGGCCGGCAATGGAGGAGGGGGCGTACCAAAGAAACCATCTTATCACAAGCAAAACTGGTTTGTTTCACTTTGGAGTAAGCTGTTGGGGGAAGAATCAGTTTTGTGTTGTTGTGTGTTTCCTTGACTGATGAAGCCTTCCGGATCGAAGGCGAAACGTTTCAGCAAAAAAAAAGAAACCATCCAGATGACCTGACTGAAAAATGTTGGATTGTATACCTGGATTATTGAGCATGGACTTTGTTAATATAGGAAGTAGTTACAAAATAAGATTGACCTCCTTTGTACAATGTTTTTGTGTAGATACAAATCTCCCGTTTTCATTTTTTAAGGTTTCCCAAAGAAAAAGACGTGAGGAAGAGGTGGAAGTATCTTTGAGGAGGATTCATCTGAGCAGTGAGGATTTTAAACAGAAGAATTTTGATAAAACTGATCAGACTGTCCGACAGAGATGATGTGGTACCATCGGTTGACCTTCAAAGAGTAGGTGCATCATTATAAGTCCATTAATGTTAATAAATTTACATATTTTATTGTCATTCACAAGGTGAGATACCTCCGTGTGTTTATATGTACAGCTTATATACTGTAAAGTTCATATTCATTATGCGTTTTCATTTCAGCTTGAAAACTGCAGGACTACAGGAACTCAACACTAGAAAGTTCCTGGAGAAACTTTGACGGGGACTGCCAGGCTGCTGCTGATTAATAATAATATTTGGTAATTAATGCAAATTATTAATATTAATCATCATTAATATGTTATAAATAATTAATATTAATAAAAAAATTGATAAGCACATTGATTTTTTTATCAATAGTAATAATTATTCATATTTATATTTATAATTAACATTAATAATTAATGTTAATTATTATTATTACTAAATAATAATAATAACAGGTAGGTAATAATAGGTGCCTTCCTTGCATATTGAACCAAAATGGCTCCATACGTTACTCAGTTTCTGTGAAGTTTTCTCCTATTCATTTACTGAGAAATTTGACATCTTTGTTAGCAAAATATGTCGCCATGGTAACTGCGAACTTTTGTGGGGGTCCACGTTGCGGTTCGGGCCACATTAATGGAGATAGAAATGTAGACACCCTTCCGAGGTGTAGAATAATAGGTGCAGTCCCCAAAAAGCTGGTCTGTCTGTGGGCTCTCAGGAACGTGCAGGTCACACCCACAACCTCGGCCTAACGATGTATTTCTATTTTAAACATCATATCATGATGGTCAAGGCTCGTCAGCGCTAATGGGCACTAGCGGTCCATGAGGGATCTAGTGTTTATATATATATATGGTTTGCACGGTTAACGTGAGGAAAGCTAACAGTGCGGAAATGAAACTGAAACTTTGGCTGTAATAATGTAACGCTAATAAATACCAGCTACTTTTTAAATCAGTTTGCGAAAATGAACGTTACCACAACATCTTCAAAGATGCTCTGCAGCTGCGTCTCCATCGAAATCGCCATGTTTGCAAGACCAGGAGTCAATCTTTTACCCAAACATCGACCGTGGTAAAGTTAGTTTTACGTTGAACACTCGAGCTCCGCGGCTTCAGCGGTGTGTTGTTCTCGTTCGATCCGATGCCGGAAGTCTGATATCGATCCAGCAGGCCGCGCTCAGTCTCCCCTCCTCAGAGACGCAATGGTTCGCTTAGGGACTATACATATCATATATAAACACTTATATTATATGATTATAGGATATCTGTGTTAGGGACCGTCCAAGTCGTCTTGTGCGAAATTCTGTTCCCCTGTGAAAATCTGTTCCCCCTGTGTCGGGAGCGCGCACTGCAACCAGAGGCGGGTCCGACCGACCGTCTTCACGGCTCATCTGATACATTTCTCGGTAAAACGAGACCACGTAATCGTGTCACGGTTGTAACTTTCATTTTAATGGACATCTCCTGGTAAATAAATAAATGAAAACCTCAACAACAACAAAAAACCTGGTCGGGGGTGGGACAGTTTATTTCAGGTAACTTATACTTTCAGGTAACTTTGGCCAAAAAAAAAAACCCAGCAAATGTTTCCAAATTCTCAAGGAGTTGTGTGTGATGATTGAACCTAAATGTCAAGATGATTAAATAATCACCAAAACATTACTGAGTGTGTTTCAGGCTGAAATCTTGTGTTCCACGTACTTTGAGGTTTAAGCATTTTTTTCTCCTTACGAGAAATAAGAGAGAGAGAGAGAAATAAAACAGACATTAAATGCAAAAAAATAGCAGCTAGAAATATCTGTTCTTCAATAGTGTCATATTTTTCATATGAACGAGATTTACCAGAAAGCCTATATTTGTTTTCAGGAAGTTTCATTTTCCGTGCCCTGCTCTCACCAGCTTCCATCCTTCTACATTAGCAATAAAAATGATAAATACGCATGAGGTGTTGGTGTCTGACTCATATTTGTCAGAATAAAATGAACATGACCAAAGCTGTAGATTCTCTCGGCGATTAAAAAAAACAAAACACGAAGGGTATGTATAACCCCACACAAGACCAGGTTTTTTGTTGTTGTTGAGGTTTTCATTTATTTATTTACCAGGAGATGCCCATTAAAATGAAAGTTACAACCGTGACACGATTACGTGGTCTCGTTTTACCGAGAAATGTATCAGATGAGCCGTGAAGACGGTCGGACCCGCCTCTCTGGTTGCAGTGCGCGCTCCCGACACAGGGGGAACAGATTTTCACAGGGGAACAGAATTTCGGAGAAGAGGTTCTCCTAGGTATCTCTGCCAAGTAGGTATCTCTGCAGGCAAATTCGGAAGGCGTATCTGGGCGGTCATATCTGATTGGACTATATGAAAATAGGCGTGTCTGGCCGGCCGCATCTGATTGGACGATAGAAAAATAGGCGTGTCTGGTCGGCCATATTTGATTGGACGATAGAAAAATAGGCGTGTCTGGCCGGCCACATCTGATTGGACGATAGAAAAAAAGGCTGAACGATAAAATGCCGTAACCACAGACATATTATGTCTAAAAACAAGGTGTTATTGGCAGATTGTGTTAACCACAGGCATATTATGTCTATGGTGTTAACTGGTTCGACATTAGCGGCGTCTCAGATTCAACACTGGCGGCGTCTCGGTTCCAGTATACTGCCGCGGCGTCTCCATAACTTCTTTTTTCGACTCTCTTAACAGAACTTCCGGTTACATTTCAAAATAAGAGCAACATAACTGGGTAGTGGGGAGAGCTAAATGTTAGGGTTTTTTTAATACCTAGCCATAACATTAAAAAACAAATTCCATTTTGGTTGTTGAAAAATGTGAACAAAGTTACAATCGATTCATAAAGAAAGAAAAATATTAATGATACTTAAACTGGCCTTGGGACAAAGGAGGTTTCCTTTAACTTCACATTTTCTTGTTCAACCTGCAGTCACTACAGATGAGTGATTGTCAGTTTCTGTAAGATTTCTGCAACTGGAGCAGGTATTTCTGTTTACTGGTTAACTTCCTCAGCTGTCTCACATTTTAAAGGTCAACCTACTCCATGTTTCAGTAGAAAACAAGCACATTTAGGAGTCAGTACATAACCAGACTTTTGGCCCTCACACCTGTACCCAGGTGCTTATGCTGCATGATGAGATCAGATTTAAACATATTTTAGAAATTACATTTAGCTTAGTCGACAAAACAATACAAATGAAGACTGTCTGTCTTAAAAAAAAACTCTTGGTTTTGCAGTAAGCAGCCTGATTTCAAACTGACATCTTGGCCAAAGGTAAAATAAAAATCTTTGTGTTCTCAGAAAAGTTGTTTCAGGACCTCCAATAAACTTATGTACACATCAAAGCACGCAAGACAGATTCAGGAATTCTCTTTGTTTTCCAGATTTCACATTTGTTATTACCTTAAAACATACTCAGACAACATTTGATGCATCATTGAATTTTTTTATTGTGTTTATTGGGACATCCATTTTTAGAAGTCATCATAGCATCTGTTGGAAACACAGAACATAGTACAGTTAGGGTGTTGCTAGTTGTTACTTAATCCTGGATTGGATTTTAAAGTTAATTTTGATATTTTTTTCACAAGAAAAAAAAAGTTGATTTCCTAAAGTTTAACTATAAATGAAGGAATTTGTGCATTCAGGTAATCGAAAATTAAGTAATTTCTCTAACATCCAACCCATTTTAGCCACTGAGCCATACCAAACACCCATAATCTATTCTTGAATGAATTATTGACTATTATTGACAAATTACAGACTTTTTATTGAATAAGTTATTACTCATTATTGAGTAATGAAATTCAACATCAGATGTTGGTCAACATTGTTGGGCAACATCTTGGGGTCTTCTAGAGTCAGTCTGAAGTGAGAGTGGTCCCTGACATGGCAGAAAGACATAGATATAATTAACAGCTTTTATTTATTTATTTTTCAGCTAATAACAACTTTTATTTATTTGTTTTTCATATTTTTCAGTTATACACAGCTTTTAAATATTTATTTTTCAAGTATTAAGAACTTTTTATTTTCAGCTTTTATTTTGAAAAGGAGCCGAGTGGAGGCTCACGTTACCTCAGTGCGTTACGACAACAACGAGAGAAGTGTGGACAGGACATAAACGGGGGAAAAAATCTATTTCTGTGAAAATAATTTAATAACTCAATTAAATTCTCTCTATTAAGTTTGTATTTTTCAAGAAAATAATAATTTGGTCTTTAACTTTACTTATATCACTACTAAAAACATCCCTAATTGTAAATTTAATATTCATTTTATTTACAGTGCCTTGCGAAAGTATTCGTCCCCCTTGAACTTTTCAACCTTTTGCCACATTTCAGGCTTCAAACATAAAGATATAAAATTAATTTTTTTTGTGAAGAATCAACAAGTGGGACACAATTGTGAAGTGGAATGAACTTTATTGGATGTGTCAAACTCTTAACAAATAAAAAACTGAAAAGTGGGGCGTGCAATTTTATCCATCCCCTTTACTTTCAGTGCAGCAAACTCACTCCAGAAGTTCAGTGAGGATCTATGAATGATCCAATGTTGTCCCAAATGACTGATGATGATAAATAGAATACACCTGTGTGTAATCAAGTCTCCGTATAAATGCACCTGCTCTGTGATAGTCTCAGGGTTCTGTTCAAAGCGCAGAGAGCATCATGAAGACCAAGGAACACACCAGGCAGGTCTGAGATACTGTTGTGGAGAAGTTTAAAGCCGGATTTGAATACAAAAAGATTTCCCAAGCTTTAAACATCCCAAGGAGCACTGTGCAAGCAATCATATTGAAATGGAAGGAGTATCAGACCACTGCAAATCTACCAAGACCCGGCCGTCCCTCTAAACTTTCATCTCGAACAAAGAGAAGACTGATCAGAGATGCAGCCAAGAGGCCCATGATCACTCTGGATGAACTGCAGAGATCTACAGTTGAGGTGGGAGCATCTGTCCATAGGACAACAATCAGTCGTACACTGCACAAATCTGGCCTTTATGGAAGAGTGGCAAGAAGAAAGACATTTCTCAAAGATATCCATAAAAAGTGTTGTTTAAAGTTTGCCACAAGCACCTGGGAGACACACCAAACATGTGGAAGAAGGTGCTCTGGTCAGATGAAACCAAAATCAAACTGTTTGGCCACAATGCAAAACGATATGTTTGGCGTAAAAGCAACACAGCTCATCACCCTGAACACACCATCCCCACTGTCAAACATGGTGGTGGCAGCATCATGGTTTGGGCCTGCTTTTTGTCAGCAGGGTCAGGGAAGATGGTCAGAATTGATGGGAAGATGGATGGGGCCAAATACAGGACCATTCTGGAAGAAAACCTGTTTGAGTCTGCAAGAGACCTGAGACTGGGACGGAGATTTATCTTCCAACAAGACAATGATCCAAAACATAAATCCAAATCTACAATGGAATGGTTCACAAATAAACGTATCCAGGTGTTGGAATGGCCAAGTCAAAGTCCAGACCTGATTCCAATCGAGAATCTGTGGAAAAAGCTGAAGACTGCTGTTCACAAACGCTCTCCATCAACCTCACTGAGCTCGAGCTGTTTTACAGGAAGAATGGGCAAGAATTTCAGTCTCTCCATGTGTAAAACTGATAGAGACATACCCCAAGAGACTTGTAGCTGGAACTGCAGCAAAAGGCGGCGCTACAAAGTATTAACGTAAGGGGGCTGAATAATATTGCACACCCCACTTTTCAGTTTTTTATTTGTTAAAAAAGTTTGACACGTCCAATAAATTTCATTCCACTTCACGATTGTGTCCCACTTGTTGATTCTTCACAAAAAAGTAAAATTTTGTATCTTTATGTTTTGAAGCCTGGAATGTGGCAAAAAGATTAAAAGTTCAAGAGGGCAGAATACTTTTGCAAGGCACTGTATGTCTCTCGGTTGGCCTGGGAACACCTTGGGGTCCCCCCAGAAGAGCTAGAAGTGGCTGTGGAACGACATGTCTGGGCCTCCCTGTTGAAGCTGCTGCCCCCACGACCTGACCTCAGAACAAGCGTTAGATGGATGGTACAGAACACAGTTTCTTTATATGCAGATGACATGCTTTTGTATATATCAGACCCTCTTACAAACATTCCTGAATTACTTGCTGCTTGTGTGCTGCCTTCATACATCTCCTCCTACATGTCTCTGCGTGAGTGCAGCTACGGCGTGCGCTCTCAGGACATTATTACCTGCAGTGTTCCCTCAATGAGGACTGAACTAGGCAAAAGGGTCTTCTCCTACTCCGCTCCTGTTTCCTGAAATACCTTACAAAAACAATTGAAGCTCTCGACCTTGACCTCTAAGTGGCTTGAAGAATCTGTTGGACTCCTGGCAGGGACCAATGCAGACATGTTCCTGTTTTTAGTTTTCTACATTCGCCTTAGAATCTAGCTGTTTTTTTTGGCTACCTTTTTCTTTTAGCCATCCTATTTGTTAAAAAAAAAAAAAGTAGTGACTTTTTATAACTGTTTATTGTTGTCACTGTTGTTCATTGTTGTCATCATTCTTTGTTGAAATCAGGTCTCTCTTGTAAATGAGTCCTCGAGGCTCAATGAGATTTACCTGTCTAAACAAAGGCTGAATGAAAAAACTTACTTTGCTTCAAAAATTCAGGAAAATATCCGTCTGTAAGGTTAATCTTCAAAAAAGTGAGATGATGCCTATGACCTTTACAGAAAAGAAAATCTTACGCTGTACTTTTTAAAATTTGTTTTAAATTAATACCTTGGCATTTGAGTTACCCGAGATCGTAAAAACCTCTATAAAACGATCTACCTACCTCTAATGGGCATGGCAAACCTTAAGCATCACATTGTTAGATGGCCATTCCTACTTCACAGTCTGGGGGGTAGAATAAACTCTGTAAAAATAAATATTCTAGCTAAATTTCTATACCGGCTTTAGAAGCTGCCAATCTTCCTTACTAAATCATTCTTCACCAATCTGAACAGCCAGCGTTCATTTGAAATAAAATGCTTCCATGGTTTGCCAAGAGGGTCTTACAACTTCCTTGCAGGCTTGGAGGCATGTCACTTCCTGATTTCATGCATTATTACTGGGCAGCTAATATCAGAGCTCTACTATTCTGGTTGGGTAAGGATACCACTTATTCTAGCTGGGTGGCTTTGGAAAGGGCCTCAACAGCGCTCCCTCTGCATTACTCTGCTCTCAACTGCCTTTTAAACAGGCAGCACGGTGGCGCCACTGGTAGAGCTGCTGCCTCTCAGCGAGCAGGTCCCTGGTTCAAATCCCGATCCGGGGGCCTTTCTGGGTGGAGTTTGTATGTTCTCTCCGTGCATGTGAGGGTTTTCTCCGGGTACTCTAGTTTCCTCCCATAGACCAAAAACATGCATGTTAGGCTGATTGGTAACTAAATTGTCCCTAGGTGAGTGAGAGAGTGAATGGTTGTCTCTATGTGGCCCTGTGATGGACTTGTGACCCATCCAGGGTGTACCCCACCCCTCGCACAGTGATTGCTGGACATGGACATGGGCACCGGCGACCCCCGTGACCCATAATGGAAGAAGCGGGTAAAAGATAATGCATGGATGGATGGATGGAATATCAACCCACACTTCTAACCTGATCTGGGCGGTTAAAATTTGGAATCAGTTTAATTAGTATGACGCAGACGGTTAGTCCGAGCCGACACGAGCATGACCTGCCTGAAGGTCTGACCTGCTGAGAAGGTGTTTCTCCTCGGAGAGCAGGATGAGGATAAACTGACCTGACAGGAAGTTTAGTCGTTCACATCTGATTCACCAGCAGGCAGCCAGATCAGCTTGAAAACCAAGAGTTTGGCACTTTGAGAAGAAACGGTTCAAAAGACAAAAGAATCAATAGATAGAACAATAAAACAGACTATTGATTATGTTGCACAGCGTTCACATTAAATGAAGAATGCTTGAATATATTTGAACCTTTTTTATTATACAGCCTTTAATAAAGTAAAAATGTTTAATATAAAAAGTCTACAAAATAAAATATAACATATTAATTGAGAGCCATCATCAGAGCCAGAGATTCAATCTGTACAATCTACTTCCTGTTCCACAGCATTGATACATGTAAAGTTGAGTTAAACAGATTTATTTTGAAAATCGCAGTCCGCTCAAGTGTTTTTGTTTACAAAGACATGATGAACAATTACAAAACAACACTAAAATTCATATTGATTCAATAAAGCAAAACATCTGTCTGTGATGTGTTTGAGACCACCGTCATGATTGCTGATGTGTTCCTGTTTGTGCAGATTATCTACAATGGTGTGTGTGTGTGCTGCGAGGAGGAGGAGGAGGAGGAGGGAGAGGCTGTGGCATTGGAAGAGGAGAGTGAGGAGGGAGGGGGCTGAGGGGTGCACGAGGAGGAGGAGGCAGCAGAGGATGTGGAGGCGCTGCTAGCAGCTGATGTGGAAGTCTCTATCATGCTGCTGTGAGTGATGAAGCGAAGACGCAGCTTCATGGCTGGACGCAAAGTCATGATGATTTTCTCCACCTGGACAGACGTAAACACATGCACGTGCACGCACACACAAACACACACACACACACACACACACACAAATACACAGAAGTAGACAAATTCACAAGAAGCAAAGCAATCACATAAAAAACAAAATACAAATATTTTTAAATCCGTTTATAAAAGAAGGTCAGAGTAAACATGGATTTTATCATCTTCATTTAGGTGATTCGTTTTGATTCTTAAATAAAATACATCTTGCACACATTGTCCTCTCCCGGTCAATGAAATTGGTTAAACCTATGCTCGGAGGACAACTCTGGAGCCAAATAGTAAGTCCAGTTTCAAGTTATGTTTTTTATTCAACCTGATGAGTTGTTTTCCTGAACAAACAAAAAAAAAAAAACTAAATAAAAAATTAGGATGAGCACATCTCTTGGAAAAATTATCTCTAAACAAAATGTCATCTGACAGTTACATACATTCATAGGGACTAATCTATTTTTTTCACCAAAGCACGTGTTCAGAGACCAGCTTTTGTTTGTTTGTGTCTCAACTAGACACCCTGAAATGGAATTTAACTCAGCTACTAGATGCTCAGTCTGTACACAAGTAAAATGTTTCCAAAGCAGCTTCTTTATATTTGCTGCTTCTCTTCAGGAGCCAGATGTCATATCAAAATCCTGTTCTGTCTGATGACTTTTTAATAACCTTTGAATTTACATTCAATGACTACACAGTCACAGAATAAATTTCATCTTAGCAGGTGTTTATCAGAAAATTCTGTAACCAAATTTAAAGAGTCTCTTCCATTCCATCACAGTTTTGCTCGGTTTAGCAGAGTAAAACATCAGAGAGCAGTGACTTAGATTATCTGGTTGATAACTTCTTTGCAAAGTTCACTTGATAAAACTGCTCAGCTGAAAAAGAAAGTAATCAATCAGAGGAGACTTGATACTTAATTCAATTCTGAATTATGTACTTTAAAACGAAAATTACATTATGTAACTACTGTTCTATGAATCCCGGATGACCACCAGAGGGCGGTGCTGAAAGCACTGAATGTTCCTATGCACATGCGCTGTTTGAGTAGTAATACCAACGGAGTCACAGGTGTGACACGGATGACCAATCAGAGGCTATATAGCCTGTCGTCATCCACAGCTCTGCTCCTACAGAATCTTCTTGTGGAATGCAAGGATTCTGAGTGACAGAGAAGCTCTGGTGGTCATCTGGGATTCATAGAACCGTAGTTACATAGCCAAAAAAGTCCATGCTCAATAATCCAGGTATATAATCCAACAATTTTCAGTCAGGTCATCTGGACAGTTTCTTTTTTTGCTGAAACGTTTCGCCTTAAATCCGGAAGGCTTCAATCAGTCAAGGAAACACACAACACAAAACTGATTCTTCCCCCAAAACAGCTTACTCCAAAGTGGAACAAACCAGTTATGTTGGTGCTAAGATGGTGTCTTTGGCACGCCCCCTCCTCCGATGCCGGCCCTCTTCCTCATCGACAGTCATGTCAAACTGGTTCAAAACCAAAAAAGTAATTTAAAGAAACATCCTGATGCATGCTCAATAATCCAGGTAGAAAAATCCAAAAAAGTTCAATCTGGTCCTCTGGACATTCAAAAAAGCAAAAAACAAAACAAAGCAAAAAAATCTAGAAACGTTTCGTCTCTCATCCAAGAGACTTCCTCAGTCTGAGGTGCTGTTTTCAGCTCAGTCTCCTAAATAGCACCTTCTCAGAGTGGATCAACCAGTTTGCTGCTGACAACCAAAACCAGCTGATCACATGCTCAAGAAGGACCATCAGCCTAACAATGGGTCATTAGCACACTGATGGCTGTTTACTACTCACAGAGGGCTGAGTGATACTAGCAATCACAGCATTGTAAGAGGGGGACAGTTGAACCCGGAGGCCTCCACCCCTGTTTAATGATGGACGATTTCTTTTCACAAAGATGGCCTCCTTTACTCCTCTCTCAAACCATCGTTTTGTCCTGGACAGAGAGGAACGATGAAAAGGGGACTTCATCTCCGCCAAGTCTGCGGACAGCTGCTCCACCCTCGTGGAGAGACCCTGGTCAGACTTGGCTCGCCTCTTCCTAGGAGGGGCCACAGAGACTGCGGCCTCAGACCGGTGCTTCAAGCGCCTAGGTGGAGCCTCCTGCCCAGAAGGCGGGAGGTCACTGCTGAGGTCGGGGCGAAACTGGGTCAGCCGAACCACCCTCACAGCATGAGGCATAAAGCTACAGTTCATGTAGGGGTTCTCTGACAGGGCCTCCACCAGATGGTCATGTCCAAGGCAGGCAGGACACAGGTTGTGACCGTCATCTGCCTGGAGCATGGCCCCACAATCTGTGCAGCAGTGAGAGCTGTACATGCTCCTTATTTTAGGCAGTTTACTCAAGTCAATCAAGTAAAAAACTGCAACTCGTCAAAGGGGCTACCACTACCAGCCACGTCCAGGATACAGGGTGAAAACAAGGACGAAAGGATAGGCAGAGAATTGGGAGATGGGGTGCGCACGCTTGCCATCACCAATTAACAAGGCAAAGAAACTCAGACAGGCTAATGCCGCTAGCTCGGCTGGTAAAAAGAGGACAATTGGGAGAGGGGGCGCGAACGCTTGCCTTCACCAATTAAGACAAGGCCAGAACTCAGAGAGGCCAGCAACGCTAGCTCAGTCCAACCGTTTGAGGATGGTGAAAATGATTGGGAGAGGGTGTGCGAATGCTTGCCTTCACCAATGAAAACAAACCACCGTAGACCCCAACGAACAGCAGAAATACCTTTGAACAAGGTTAAACCATCGCAGCCCCTAGGAGGGCGAAAACGCTACTCCCGCCAACAGGCAGTCGGGCCTCTGACGACGGTGAAAATTTCAAAAATCCAAAGGGCTGAGGCCCTGTATTGAACCGTGCGCGAGAAAAAAAAGGAGAAGAGCTGCAGATGATAACAGGCTATATAGCCTCTGATTGATCATCCATGTCACACCTGTGACTCCGTTGGTATTACTACTCGAACAGCGCATGCGTGAAGGGAACATTCAGTGCTTTTAGCACCGCCCTCTGGCGGTCAGGAGGGATGCAATAGAACAGACATCTAGAAAGTTGGAAAGAAAATTGCGCTCCACTAACGAAGAATTTTACTTAGCTTGGAGATGGCCTGCTATCTTATAATAATAATAATAATAATGTCATCACAATGTCAGCACTGTATGTTTCCATACAATGGCGAAATTAGTCTCTGCATTTAACCCATCCACCACCAGGTGGTGCAGTGGGCAGCTATTGAAAGCGCCCGGGGGACATTTTGGGGATTAGACGTGCTGCCCAGAGACGCCACGTGATGTGCAGTGACGAATGTGTTCCGCAAAGCTAGAACTTTATATTATTCATCTTTAATAGATGAGGAAAAAAAACAAGGTTCCTTTTCAGTACCATATCTAGTCTAATGAAAAATCCTATCTGTGTTAATTCACGTATCCCTACAACTATAAGCACTGATGAGTTCATGAGATTCTTTATAAATAAAATTATTTCAAATAGGGGAAAAATTCAAACCAGCATTCCTACTATCGCCTCTGGTTCAATGTCAGATGAGACAACTTAAAAAATGTCACTAGATCCTGAATTGGACTATTTTTGTCTTGTTGAGCTCTCTGAATTGTCAAAAACAATAGCTTCATCTAAACCATCCACATTTGCTAGCTCCCATTCCAACCACCCAATTTATAGAGGTATTTCCCTAAATTAATAACCAAATTTTGGATCTGGTTAATTTGTCTCTAATGAATGGTTACGTACCACAACGTTGTAAGATTGCTGTAATTACACCTTTATTTAAGAAACATAACCTTGACTCAGGAATCCTAGATAACTATAGAAGTATATCTACCAATCTAACTTTCATCTCAAAAATTTGAAAGAAAATACTTGCAGGTCAGTCGCGTGAACATCTGCAAAGACATAATCTGTTTGAGGAGTTTCAGTCAAAGTTTAGAGCTCACCATAGCATTGAAACTGCACTGGTGAAAGGTACTAATGATATTATCATGGCCTCTGACAATGGACAGGTGTCTACACTGGTCCTGTTAGACCTCAGTGCTGCATTTGATACAGTTGATCACAAGATTCTACTACAGAGACTTGAATATGATATTGGAATTACAGGAACGGCTCTAAATTGTTTTAAATCATATTTATGTAAATGGAAATAATGACCCTTCTTCATACACCAAAGTTAGTCATGGGGTTCTTCAGGGTTCAGTGCTTGGACCAATACGCTACCTTTTATATGCTTCCATTACATAAAAAGTTACTAAACAGCATGGGATAAAGCTTCGTTGTTATGCTGATGATAGACAGTTATATTTGTCCATGAAACCCAATGAATCAAATCACTTAGACTAAAAGAAAAAAAAAGAAAAAAAAAATAAATAAATAAAAAAAGACTAAAAGAATGTCTTAAAGACATAAAAGCCTTGATGACCCTAAAAGTTCTACTTCTGAATACAGACAAGACTGAGGTTTTGTTTTTTGGACCTGAGCATCTTAGGAATAAATTTTGCAGTCTTTTGCCCTCCTTGGATGGCATTACCATAATCTGGCCTTCACCTTGAATGTTAAAAATCTTGGTGTTATTTTTGATCAGGACATGTCTTTAACACCCACATTAAAAGTGTTACGAGAACCGCCTTCTTCCACCTGAATAATATTGCTAAAATTAGAAACATATTATCTAAAAATGATGAAGAGAAACAGGTTAATGCATTTATCACATGTAGATTGGACTATTGCAATGGTTTGTTAGCTGGGTGTCCAAATACTTCTTTAAAAAGTCTTCAGTTAATCCAAAATGCTGCTGCCACAGTCTTAAATGGAGTTAGTAGGAGAGATCATATCTCTCCAGTTTTAGCTTCTCTCCATTGGCTTCCTGTCAAGTCCAGAATTGAACTCAAAATCTTACTTGTAACCTACAAAGCTCTCAACAACCTAGCTCCATCTTATATTCGAGATCTTGTTGTTCCATATTTTCCTAATGGAGCACTTCGTTCTCAGACTGCAGGCTTACTTGCGGTTCCTAGATTCCAAAAGCAGAATGGAAGGAAGATCTTTCAGTCATCAGGCTCGTCTCTTGTGGAACCAACTTCCAGTTTCTGTCCGTAAGACCGACACATTGTCCTGTTTTAAGACTGGGCTTAAGACTTTCCTTTTTGATAAATCCTATAATTAGGGTTGGCTTGTTATGCTGCCATAGGCTTAGACTTCTGGAGGACAAACTGACCTCATTTCCTTAAATGAATTGTTCCTCCTTCCTGTTCATCTCAAACCTATCCAGTCGAAGCAGATGGCCGCTTGTCCTGAGCCTGGTTCTGCTAGAGGTTTCTTCCTCACGAGGGAGTTTTTCCTTTCCACTGTTGTCTTTGTGCTTGCTCAAGATGAGAGTTCTGCAATGAAGTTAAATTCAAAGCAATCTGCTCCTGAGATAAATAGGGTTATCTTATTTTTTATATATACAAATGTTTTTGTTTAGTGCCCTGAGATGACTTCTCTTGGGACTTGGCACTATATAAATAAACTGAATTAAACTGAATATTAATAGTAACAATCTGGTTGTTAATATCACAATTTTATCCGATTTAGTGACAAAGATACTGTTAAGATTTTTTCTGTTTCACAATAAGAAAACGATCCAAGTTATCAAGTTCAGACTAAACTATGTTAGTTTCGATTTTCAATTCAGGCCCTCTACAGCAAAAACTACAGAATTTATTTTGACCACAACTTGATCTGTTGCTAAACTGAGTGAAAGAAGCAGAACCGTCTGTTATTAGTGTGATCTCTTGTGTCCCTGCTGGTAAATTTACCTTTAAAAGACGAATGTGGAAAATAAATGTTTGGTTGTGTCAACTGTGATAATATTTTGTTTCCATCTCCCAACAATGTCTTCTCCTCGTAAAAGGGGATGGGTCTTTCAGCACGTTGCTCTGCTCACCTGTTCTTTCACACTGTCTCCGGTGTATATGTATTTAATGTGATACAGGAAGTCACAGACTGGGTCCATGTAGCTGAGATGATGGCAGTGCTGGTCGACGGCCTGCAGCATCTCGTAGAAAGCCACACCAATCTAATACACAAACACACAAGTTTACAATAAAAATGTGACAGAGACATAAATACTGCTTATGTCAGCTAATATTTGGTGAACGTACCTCCAACATGCATCGTGTCCTCTCCTGCTGGAAGCGCTGCAGGAACGGCCCGACCAGGTGATACACGTAAAGTAACTGGAACTCTGTCTTGACGATGGGCTTCAGGGTCTCGGACAGAAATCTACACACGCACAATCACACGCACAATCACACGAGTATCGGATGAAGACGAAATGTTTCTGGACAATTGAGAAAGAAAGACCGTTACTTGGGAATCAGAGACAGCTGTCCAATGGATGAGTGATGCCAGATGGCGTGCGCTAACGCTAGCACATAGCTGCAGTTCATTTCGCTGTAGCTTTGGTGGCAAGCAGTGAAGTCGAGCAAGGCGAAAGGATAATCTCCCCACTCTGTCTCCGATGTCAGAGCTGGAGAGCTGAGAACGGACACGATGTGATCGTGGAGGACGATCCAGTAGGGCTCCTAGAACGAAAGATTAGAAGCAATCAAAGAAAATTTAAAATTGTGATTGTTTATTGTCACGAAAAACAAAAATAAAGTAAAAATTTGAGTTCATTTTCTTACAGGAAGTGCAGTGATCACAAGCCCAGTTGCATTCATCCAAGCCGTGATGTTCTCTCTGGGAACCAGAGGCTGACTGAAAGATTGCAAATGAAAATAGTAATAATAATAATAATAATAATTAGTAATAATAAATAATTTTAACATTCAATAAATTTGAAAACCAGAAATCAGCAGATAGACAAGGAACCTGGACTGAATTCTACCACAAATGATGTGTCGCACCTCTTCAACACAACGTTGAGCAAAGCGTTGCCGACATCTTGTCCTGGGACAGACAGAGCCATCAGCTCCACACAGGTGACGTGCAGGGCGTGAGCTGCGGGGTTGGGGAACTCGTTGAATCTCCAGTCACAGTTGGGGAAGGGACCAGGTGACTTTCCCGCCATGGGTGGGGAAGAGTTAAGGACAAAAAAAGACATCTGAAGGAGGAAATGTTTTTATTTGTTCCCAGATTAATTTGTCTGGTTTAACACTGCATCCACACAAGGTCTTTCAACAAAGTGTGTCTAGTTTTATGGTAATGACTTACTAGGACAATACAATAAACTAAAATGAACTTTTAATTTCATTAGTAAAGGGAGATATAACACAAATATACTATGGAGGTACAACAGAAGCTAGTAGTGTTTATCTAATGTTGCTGTAGTGACAGTTCTGTCCAACGAGGGATTATTAAAGGATATTGTCCACAAGGCGTCCAATCAGCTTGCAGTAGTAGGTGTCATCAGGGATAAATACGTTATCCTCTCTGGGGTTCATTCCAAATTTTAAATACGTTTCGCTCAGACACCAACCCGGGGTACGATTGTCCTGATAAACAGAACATCAGAATTTAAAAGGCGCTGCTGTTCATTTTAAAAAACATAAAACGTCTCTGTGTGTGCTACCTTCAGTGAAGACATGATGGCATGGACCAGTTTCCTCTTCAGGTTGGTTCTGTCTCTCAGATGCCGTTCATAGTAGTGAAGGGTGTTGTACAGGTATGTCACCGGGCGGTCTGTGGGGAAAAAAATACAATGGAAAATATGAATTGATCCACAGAAACGATGCAGATGTCAGTAGCTTTAGTAAAAACCCAACCTCAGTGTCTTATATCTACACCCACCGTGGAACTTGTACAGTCCTCCCAGATGGTCCAGCAGCGTTTCCAGAGATTTGGAGACAGGAAGAAGCTCCAGGAAGCGGTGGATAACGATATCAAAGACGGGCAGGAAGCGAAGACACACATTGCCAAAGTAGATTGGCAGGTACTGTTGTTGAAGCTGCATGGGAGGGTTGACTTGCTCTGCAAGACCCTCAAAGTACAATTTCTCTGGGTATTTCTGATGAAAAAAACAAAAACATTTTACAGTGAGGAAAATAAGTATTTGAACACCTTGCAACATGGCAAGTTCTCCCACTTAGAAATCATGGAGGGGTCTAAAATTTTCATCATAGTTGCATGTCCACTGCGAGAGAAAAAAAATACAAAATCCAGGATTCACAATGTGTGATTTTTTCATAATTTATTTGTGTTACTGCTGCAAATAAGTCTTTGAACACTTGCCAATCAGCAACAATTCTGGCCCTCAAAGACCTGTTAGTCCGCCACTAAAAAGTCCACCTCCACTCCACTGATTATTCTAAATTAGAAGCACCTGTTTGAGGTCGTTAGCTGCATAAAGACACCTGTCCACCTCACACAATCAGTAAGACTCCAACTACTAACATGGTTAAGACCAAAGAGCTGTCCAAAGATACCAGAGACAAAATCGTAGACCTCCACAAGGCTGGAAAGGGCTATAGGGCAATTAATTGTCAAGCAGCTTGGTGAAAAAAGATAAAATGTTGGAGCAATTATTAGAAAATGGAAGAAGCTAAACATGACTGTCAATCTCCCTCGGACTGGGGCTCCATGCAAGATCTCACCTCGTGGCGTGTCAATGATCCTGAGAAAGGTGAGGAATCAGCCCAGAATTACACGGGAGGAGCTGGTCAATGACCTGAAGAGAGCTGGCACCACTATTTCCAAGGTTAATGCGGGTAATACACTAAGACTCATAGTTTAAAATCACACATGGCACGAAAGGTTCCCCTGCTGGAATCAGAACACGTCCAGGCCCATCTTAAGTTTGCCCATGACCATTTAGATGATCCAGAAGAATCATAGGAGACAGTTATGTAGTCAAATGAGACCAAAATAGAACTTTTTGGTCTTAATTCCACTCGCCGTGTGTAGAGGACGAAGAATGATGAGTAGCAACCCATAAACACCATCCCTAATGTGAAGCATGGGGGTGGAAGCATCATGCTTTAGGGGTGTTTTTTCTACACATGGGACAGGACGACTGCACTGTATTAAGGAGAGGATGACCGGGGCCATGTATTGCGAGATTTTGGGGAACAACCTCCTTCCCTCAGTTACAGCATTGAAGATGGGTTGTGGTTGGGTCTTCCAACATGACAATGACCTGAAGCACACAGCCAGGATAACCAAGGAGTGGCTCCGTAAGAAGTATATCAAGGTTCTGGAGTGGCCTAGCCAGTCTCCAGACTTAAACCCTATAGAAAATCTTTGGAGGAAGATCAAACACCGTGTTTCTCATTGACAGCCCAGAAACCTGGCTGATCTAGAGAAGATCTGTGTGGAGGAATGGGCCAAAATCCTGCTGCAGTGTGTGCAAACCTGGTGAAAAACTAGAGGAAACGTTTGACCTCTGTAATTGCAAACAAAGGCTACCGTACCAAATATTAACATTGATTTTCACAGGTGTTCAAATACTTATTTGCAGCAGTAACACAAATAAATTATAAAAAAATTATACAATGTGATTTTCGGATTTTTTTTTTTTTACATTATGTCTCGCACAGTGGACATGCACCTAAGATGAAAATTTCAGACCCCTCCATAATTTCTACGTGGGAGAACTTGCAAAGTCGCAGGGTGTTCAAATACTTATTTTCCTCACTGTATTTAAATCTGGTCTGCTTTCACATTATGCTTTCTGTTTAATCTATTCAAAGAATGACATGACTCAATACATGGATTGTTGGTTTTACATATACCTTGTGGTAGCTTATGTGCTTGCTGTGCCAGTCGCTCTGCAGCCAGTGCTCGGGGGCGTTCTCCTTCACAAAATCATTGACTCGGTTCCTAAAGTCGTTAGGCTTCAACAAAAGCAGCTGAATTATGAAGTAGCAAACCTGAGCCTCGTTTCCTTCATGGCTACGCATCGCCTGGCCGTGGAAAAGAAGAAGTGTAAAGACTTGTGTTGATCCCCAAAAAACTTATATTTCATTGTTATGACCTCACCAAACACAAAATGAGCCTGTCCAGTGTGACTATGTTGTATTTCCAGACCATGTCGTTGAGTATTTCAATGCACTTATTGAGCTGCTGTCCGCCAGCTGAAGTTGAAAACTCGTAGACGAGGAAGTCAGCGAAGGTGCGGACATGAGCCACCAATGCACGAGCTCCAATTCGCTCCAAGACCCTGATGTTGAGAGAAAAAAAAAACAACTTATTGAAACAATTTAGAACAGCAAAATCCAACAGGATGAATCAGTAACTAATGATGGAGGAATTTTAAAAAGATTTCCCAGCTCTCTCTTCACCATGACAGACCGGTACAGTGCCCACTTCACTGCAGATGCTGCACCTGTCCACCTATTGATTTCTCGCTCTAGTTTTGCCTCATTCGTGAACAAGATTTTGAGATACTTAAACTCCTCCACTTGGGGCAGGACCTCCTCCACAACCCAGAGAAGGCACTTTACCCTTTTCCAGCTCAAGACCATGGTCTCAGATTTGGAGGCACTGATCCTCACCCCGGTTGCTTCACACTACTGCAAACTGCTCCTGTGAAAGCTGTAGATCATGACCTGATGAAGCCAATAGGACCACATCATTAGCAAAAAGCAGAGATGTGATCCTAAGGTCACCAAAACAGATCCCCTCAACACCTTGGCTGTGCCTAGAAATTCTGTCCATAAAAGTTATGAACAGAATCTGTGACAAAGGACAACCTTGGCGGAGTCCAACTCTCACTGGGACCGAGCCTGACTTACTGCCGACAATGCGGACCAAGCTCTGACACTAGTCATACAGGGACCTAACAGCCCCTATCAAAGGGCCTGATACCCCATATTCCCGGAGTACCACCCACAGGATTCCCCAAGGGACGCAGTCGAACGCCTTCTCCAAGTCCACAAAGCACATGTAGACTGGTTGGGCAAACTCCCACGCACCCTCCAGGACCCTGCTGAGGGTGTAGAGCTGGTCTAATGTTCCACGACTAGGATGAAAACCACACTGCTCTTCCTGAATCCGAGGTTCGACTATCCGACAGACCCTCCTCTCCAGAACCCCCGAATAGACCTTACCAGGGAGGCTTAAGAGCATGAGACCCCTGTAGTTGGAACACACTTTACGGTCCCCCTTTTTGAATAAGGGGACCACCACCACCCAGGTCTGCCAATCCAGGGGAACTGCCCCCGATGTCCACGCAATATTGCATTCATGTAAGCCAACACAATCCTACAGCATCCAGAGCCTTAAGGAACTCTGGGTGAATCTCATCCAACCCTGGGGCCCTACTACCGAGGAGCTTTTTAATCACCTCAGTGACCTCAGTACCAGAGATTGGAGAGCCCAACCCAAAGTCCCCAGGCTTCACTTCCTCAGTGGAAGATGTGCTGGTGGGATTGAGGTCTTCGAAATACTCTGTCCACCGACCCATGATGTCCCGAGATGAGGTCAGCAGCACACCATCCCCACTATATACAGTGTTGGTGGTGTACCTGCCCCCCCCCCCGGATGGTGGACCAGAATCGCATTGAAGCCGTATGGAAGTCATTCTCCATGGCCTCTCTTAACTCCTCCCACACCCAAGTTTTTGCCTCAACGACCACTCGAGCTGTATGCCGGTACAGCCGGTACCCATCAGATGCTTCTGGGGTCCCACAGGCCAAAAAGGCCCGATAGGACTCCTTTTTCAGCCTGACAGCATCTCCGCCTGTGTCCACCAACAAGTTTGAGGGTTACCATTGCGACAGGCACCGACAAGCTTGCGGCCATATCTCCAATAAGCCACCTCGACAATGGAGGCGTGGAACATGGCCCACTCGGACTCAATGTCGCCCACCTCCCCCAGAACGTGTTTGAAGTTCTTCTGGAGGTGGGAGTCAAAGCTCTGCCTCAAGAGAGACTCTGCCAGACGTTCCCAGCAGACCCTCACAATACGTTTGGGCCTGCCAGGTCTGACCGGCATCCTCCCCCACCATTAGAGCCAACTCACCACCAGGTAGTGGTCAGTGGACAGCCCACCCTTCTCTTCACCCGAGTGTCCAAGACATGCAGCCACAGATCAGATGATATGACAACAAAGTCGATCATCGAACTGCAGCCTACGGTGTCCTGGTGCCAAGAGCATATATGTACACCCTTATGCTTGAACATGGTGTTTGTTATGGACAATCCATGATGAGCACAGAAGTCCAATAACAGAACACCACTCAGATTCAGATTACGGGGACCGTTCCTCCCAAACACACCCCTCCAGGTCTCACTGTCATTGCCCATGTGAGCACTGAATTCTCCCAGCAGAACAAGGGAGTCCCCAGGAGGGGCACTCTCCAGTACCCCCTCCAAGGATTAGGGATGCACCAATCCACTTTTTCCACTTCCGATACAGATATCTGAGGTTTGGCATCGGTCGATACCAATCCAATACCAATCCGATACAGGGAAAACAGTGCTGAATTCCGTTCAACAAACTCAGTGTGCTCTTTAGGGTGAAATCTCTGGAGATGTTTGATTAAGTTGGTAGTGTTATAACTGGAAGTTTTAGTGACACCCCTTGGAACCATTGATGTGCACGTATTGCAAGTGGCTGCCGAATGTGTTGGCTGAGGTAGGGTGAAATAGTTCCAGATGGCTGATCCTTTCGCTCGCTCCATTTTGAAAACAATCTGTGCAGTAAGTTCGCTAGCGCGTGATGTCACTCAGAGCACAAAGCATAGAATTAGAGTGAACAGATCTGCCCAGTCATTGATAGGTCACATTGTCACTGATACCCGATCCAGAAGTTTTTTTTTTTTTTATATCAGGACCGATACCGATATTGGTATCAGATCGGTGCATTTCTACCAAGGATTACAAAAAGGGTGGATAATATTAACTGCTGTTTGGCGCAAAAGCACCAACAAGTCAGAACCTGTCCCCCCACACGTAGGCGGAGGGAGGCTACCCTCTCTTTCACGGGGATGACCCCAACATACAGGCACCAAGATGGGGGGCAACAAGCATGCCCACTCCTGCTCGGCGCCTCTTACTAAGGGAAACTCCAGAGTGGAAGAGTGTCCATCCCCTCTCAAGGAGGCTGGTTCCAGAGGTAAGTCCAACTATTTCTAGTCGGAACCTCTCAACCTCACACATCAGCTCAGGCTTCTTCCCCACCAGAGGTGACATTCCACGTCTCGAGAGCCAGCTTCTGTAGCAGAGGATCAGACTGCCAATGTCCCCGCATTCGGCCACCACCCATTCCACATTGCACCTGACCCCTTTGGCCCCTCCCACAGGTGGTGAGTCCATGGGAAGGGGGACCCAAATCTCCTCTTTGGGCTGTGCCTGGCCGGGCCCCATGGGTGAAAGTCCAGCGACCCGGTGCTCGCCAGCGTGTCCCACCTCCAGGCCTGGCTCCAAAGTGGGACCCCGGTGACCCACATCCGGGCAAGGGAACATTGAGCCAAATGAATGTAATTGAGCCAAATGGATGTAAAAAGTCCCCAAATCATTGGTGAGATGCATCAAGACATGATTTATGAGGATTAAAGCAGTGTGGTAAGCTAAAATCCAGAACAAGTGATGTGATTTAAAATACCTGCTATTTTCTAATGTAAATAACTGATTTTCAGTAGTCTGTTATTTCTCACTAAGACTAAAGTTTAACAGAAAGAGTTTTAATTTAGAAATACAAAACAGCCGCTGCAGACCTAAAGCCGATCTGGTTTATGTGGTCAGTCTCCAGCAGCATCTTCCACAGGAGACACAGGAAAAGGGGAGGAGAGCCCTGCATGGAGAAGTGGGTGATGATGTCATTCTCATTGGCCATTGACTTCCACTTCCTGTACTCCTCTTCTACATTCTTCTTCAGGTTGAAACGAGACTCCTGAGGAACGTTGTTCTGCTTGAAAAATGCCTGGAGCAAACACGCAGGTGTTAAGTTATTACATAAGAATAAAGTGTTTGAGTCATTTATTTCCCTTTGCGTATGCAGGAGCTAACAGGTTTGCACCTGCAAAGGAGCAGGGAAGCAGGACAGTGTGTGTGAGGCCCAGTTGTGAGGTGTAAAGTTCATGATGGTCTGGAGGATGTCCTTACACCAGGTGCCATGGATGGAGTCAGACCCTGTGAAAAAATCTACAGAAAAAGAAAAAGAGTGACCATCCTGCATGAAAAACCGTGGTAAAGATGAAAATAATTTTAGAATAAGCAAAAAACAACTAACAAATAAAACAATGCCCTAAATGAAATTGACCAAATCAATCAGTAATCTGATCTCAAAGAAAAAAAAACAATGATCCAGGCTGAGAGGTACCAGTAACATGTGTGGCTCTGGCCAGGGTCAGGATCAAGGCTCGGTTCAGCTCCTCAGATTCAGCAGACAGAACTGTCTTTGGGTCACTGAGGAAGCGAGTGAACTGAGGTTGTACCTCTGAACTGCCCAACGCTGTGATCAGACGCAGAGCTGTGCTCTCAACACTGAGGACAGAAATAAAAACGTCTGAAATCAAACCAGGCATGTAAAAATACATTTATTAAACAATAATACACCTGCTGAAACAAGACTACTGACCCTATTCACATCACTAAGATCAGCATTGTTACTCATATAGAGTTAGCACAACAACAGGAAAACTACAGCCTGGTGTGGCTCTGCAGACTGCAGCTCAGAACGGAGTTAGACTATTTTAAACTTTGTTGAACATAATTCATCATTAGAATGACTAAAATAGTGTATTATTTTGGGACACGATGCAGAACTTGCAGCAAAGCTTCATGCAGACGAAAACGTGAATCTGTTGCGTCTCTTTTCATTTGTATGTTTGCTTCAATCAGTTTTAAAGTCCATCATGAGACGCTGTGACAATAACAATATATCAGTCGGGCCACAAACTCTCAGCTTTTTGTTTTAACTTGCACAATGTTGTCATCACATTCAACCATTCTTTCTACCTGATCAAAAAATGCAAACAAACTAAAGATAGCCAGAGAGATTATAATAAAGGCCGTTATCCTGATTATCTTTTAGTGTTTTTAACGCAACAAAAAACAAAGCACTGTAAAAACACTCGTCTGCAGAAGTGAAGCTGATAAAGTAACTAAATAAGCATGTAAATACACTAAATGATACAAAACAAGTCTTTCTTCAATTTTGTACTATTTAAATGTGGGAACACAACACAGTTAGCATCTAGCATTCCTTCCTGTAACCAACTTTGTCATTTTGTTCATGACTGAAAAAAAATTCACCTACTTTTTTCTTTAACAGGTTAAGAAAGCACAACTTTACGTTTGTTTGCTGCTGTGGAGTTTCTTTTTTTACAAATTCTCACTCAAAAAATGAAATCTGCTGCTACAAAGCAACTACAATCTTGCTGTTGTTTGTAGATAATGTTGAACGAGTGTGGACCCGTGAGTGCTGAAGTTACCACAGATGCAGCTGGTTCTGGTTGGTTTGTGGTACTGCAGCGAGGCTGTGCAGATGACTCAGCAGCTGGACTCTGTAGTGAGGCTGGATATGGTGCATCCTGTAGCTGAACATCTCCAGCAACGTGTGCAGGATTCCCCATGCGTGAGACTTGAACACATTGGGCAGCAGCTGACCTGAACAGTTGAATGTGTTTCATTATTTAGCATGTTTATGTTGAACAAGATGAGCTAAAATTATTTCTGAGATGAAACAACTGAAGATCAAACAGCTAAACCTTTACTGGAGATTGACTTTTTCCCTCTAGATTTGACTCAAGTTCAGAAAGAAAATGACTAGAGTTTAAGAAATGACTTAATAGATCAAAGATGATGCCTCCTCCAAATGTCAGAAATAATAATGCTAAATAATTCAGTTGATAATAAAACATTAATACCGGTAATTGCTTTCTGCAGAGAACAACGCATGTCTTAAAATGCTTCAATCCTAAAATAATTAAATTTTGTATGCCTCTTTTGTGACTGTCTATTGTTGTCATTGTTATTCACTGTTGTCATCATTCTTTGTTGAAATCAGGTCTTTCTTGTAAATGAGTCCCCAAGGCTCAATGGGACAGAAAACTTGACCTGGGTACTTTTGATTCAACCATTCAACCTTTATTTAGACAGGTTAATCTCATTGAGCCTCGGGGACTCATTTTACAAGAGAGACCTGATTTTTTTAACAAAGAGTGATGACAACATGTTCATAACAACAAAAACAATAGACAGTCATAAAATAGGCATAGGTATACAAATTTAAGTTTGTCTTATTTTTTTTTTTACAAATCAAAACAATCAAAACAAAATAGCAACCAAAATGATAATCAAGAGGAACAGTAGCAAAAAACAGCTAGATTATAAGGCGATTTAGAAAACTAAAAACAGGAACATGTCTGCATTGGTTCTTGCCAGGAACTAATAGATGTTTAAAGCAACTTAGAGAGGTCCAGGTCGAGAGCTTCAGATCTTTTTGCAAGTTATTCCAGGAAACAGAAGCAGCGTAGTAGAAGGCCCTTTTGCTTAGTTCAGTCCTCACTGAGGGAACACTGCATGTAATAATGTTCTGAAAGCGCACGCTGTAGCTGCACTCGCGCAGAGACATGTAGGAGGAGATGTATGAAGGCAGCAGACCAAGAAGTGATTTAAAGATGAAAATGTACCAGTGGGAGAGTCTGCGTGAAGTTAATGATGTCCAGTTAACCAGTGAATACAGGGTGCAATGATGGATACGGTAGTTGCAGCCAGTTATGAATCTTAGTGCACCATCTGCAGGGTTCTTGTAGGAGCGTTCATAGATGTCACCGTAGTCAATGGAGGGAAGGAAAGTCACAGTTACAAGGCGTTTCCTAGCATTCAGAGTTAGACAGGATCTGTTTCTGAAAAAGAAACCCAATTCAACTTTCTGTTTCCTTTCTAGGTTTTCCTCGTGAATCTTAAACGAGAGATGCAAGTCGACCAAGATACCCAAATATTTATAGGAATCAACAAACTCAATAGGGACACCATTTGAGGATAAAATCCGAGGAAGAACTGATGGGACTGACTTCCTGTTTGAAAAAAAACATCCCTTTGGTTTTACTGGCATTTAGGACAAGTTTGAGATGAAACACTAACAGTGTACTAACAGTGCCTCAGCCATCGGAAAGGCCCAGCAGCGTCTTTTCTTTCTGAGGAAACTGAAATGGGTCAAAATTCCTCAGCAGCTTATGATGAACTTCTATAACTGTGCTATTGAAAGTATATTAACCTATGGATTCCTAGTGTGGTTCTCCAGCTGCACTAAGGCAGACCAGCAGGCTCTCTAGAGGATGCTTAAAACACCTGGGAAGATCATCGAGATTATCCTGCAATAAGCCGCACCACAGCTTCACCATGAAACAACGAATAGGAGAAGCTCTGATGCAGCTGCAGCTCAAAGGTAACTGTTTTTCCTCATATTAACTTATAGACAAGTTGTACAACAAACTTAATGTAATTTGTCTTTTTAACAGGCTTGAATAGGCCAGATAAGACACATCACATGGAGACAGTTCTAAATGATAAATTTAGATGGTTTATAAATTAGAGTTAGAAGAGATTTTGTGCAGGTTTGCACAGGTTTTGAAATTTTGTTAAAAGATGTACCAAATATGAATCAATATGGTTAAGACTGAAGTCTGTATATTTCATATTAGGTTAAGTTTTGAAAATATAACAAATGTTAGAGCAATATGTTTAAAAAACTGTGAAGTCTGTATTTTATGTAGAGTTAAAGGTTAATGTACTATGGTAGACTGAAGTCTGTTTACTTTTGTATTTATATATTTGAATTATTCGTATGTGATGGACTGGAGACCTGTTCAGGTGTCCCCCGCCTCTCGCATAGTGATGGCTGGACATGGGCACCAGTGACCCCCGTGACCCGTAAAAGAAGAAGTGGGTAAAGATAATGGATGGATGAATTATTTGTTCCTAGATTTTTTTTTTTTTTTTTTTTTAGAAAAATCCAGGCAGCTAAGCTAACCTAATCCTGGTAATTTAAGTTACAGAATTTTATGCACACCTGTATTTGTTCCTATTTTTGGTATAAATAGAAAATGATGCAAAAAGATTTGATACAGTAAAGAACCTAAAATTATTGTTTTAAATAAATGTTCTATTTGTTTACATTGTTGTTTAATCTTTTCAGATTGTCAGTTACATAACTGAAACAAAATTCATGACCATTTCAATAGAAAAATCGTTTCTAAATTGAAAATCGTTTCTGAATTGAAAAATCGATTTTGAATCGAATCGTGACACCAAAAATCGGAATCAAATCGAATCACCAGACACAGAGATTCGCACCCCTAGTCTGTACCCACAGGCTGTGAGACTGTTAAACAAACAGCATTTCTCTGTGACCTCGCCCATTATCCTTAAATCTCAAATCTCATCATGACAATAACTGTGAAATGGATATTGCATTGCTGCAGCAACCAACTACTACCCCTTCTACATCTGACTGTTTAGAGTTTTATCTTCTTCTATCCTGCCCTTAAATGCTGTATTATTATCTATGTTTACAATGATCATCAGAACCTTGCAAATTTCTTTCAAACCATTATGTGCTAATTCATTAATATGTATTAGGGCTGCATGATATGGACAAAAAATTATATCTCGATATTATTAAGATATATCGCAATATACGATATATATCTCGATATTCAAGCATCTGCTAAGTTCATGGCAAAAACAAATGCAGACACGTTCCTGTTTTTTGTCTTTTACATTGCTTTATAATTTAGCTTTTTCTGTTTCGTTTTTTAAATATAATTTTCTTCCATTTATGTTTTTGATTCATATGCTTTCATTTATGATTGTCTACTGTTGTCATTATTAGTTGTTAAAAACAGGTCTCTCTTGTAAATGAGAGGCTTAATGAGAGTAACCTGTATAAAGGTTGAATGAATTAATTTTTTTTCTTTCCATAAAGTAATAACAAAAATATATTTCTGAGTCAAAGCCTTGTCCCAATTGTCACATAGGCACATTTATTAACAAACAAGCTGTAACTCTACTAAATGTCAAAAAAATAAACTATTTACTGTACATATATTAAATAATAATCCTCTTCAGCTGTGCCACCTTCACAACGTTAGTAAGCATGTGTGAAGCAGCACGTAAGACTGTGCGATTAATCAGATCAAACGGACATTCGTAATAAAAACGCGTCATGTAAACGCCCCGTTAGGGTTATTTTTTGTTTATTCAGCGTAATCCGAAATAATTTGTGATCAGAACGAAACGGGTGGTTTATGCCGATTCATAACCTGAACGGTGTGCATGTACACACTTGAACTTTTCGTTTTTATCTGATGGTGAAAAACTGACCTGATTGCGCATGTGCGACTTTGTCATTTCCGCCTGGGTAATGCTAATAATATTAGCATGTCGGGGAAGCAAAACTGGTCGGTGAGCGACACAACATTTCTACTAGAAACTTTGAAAGAGCTCAAAATGATCTGTATTACATGTAGCTCAGTCAGGGAGTACAGTAACGTTTCCACCGTCATTAAAACCTGTCGCGGGTCCATTCTGGGTGCTCAGGTTTGTTTACGTTCATCCTGGAAGTAAACCGGAAGTAGAACTTCTTCTTCGGTGATTTATTTAAGGAGAGTTTACCACTCTGCGCATGTCAGTACTTCTATTCAGAACAGAGCCCGCTGCATGTAAACACTCGTCATGAACAGATTGTGCCCATGTAAACTATATGTTTGAATTATTTAATCTGAAAACATTTCAATTCAATTCAATTCAAAAATACTTTATTAATCCCAGAGGGAAATTAAATGTTGTTGTAACTCATCATCCTGGTTTCATTAAAGAGTTGTTCAAGATGCTGATGGCTGTGGGCAGGAAGGATCTCTTGTAGCGGTCTGTCCTACAACAGATCTGAAGAAGCCTCTGACTGAAGACACTTTGTTGTATGTGTAGTGAACCTGATCTGACCCTGATCTGACCCTGATGACCTCAAATCTATCAGATGGACAGAGACTGTTATTTTCATTGATCTGAATACAGTCTGAGCCATCTGGTGACTTTCTTTCTTGAATTAATCAAGCAGAAAAGACAATTTTTATAATCATTACTGTTTTTACAAATGTTTGATAATCAAATTGTGTTAGTTCCATTCAATGCTTACAGGTTGAAAAGAACTACTCATTTTTATTTTACATAAACAGTAAGTAATGATTTTTATTCCTCATTCAAAGAAGAAATCAGGTTAATATGCATTTCTTGATTTTCTGTCTGAAATGAGCTAAGCTCGTAAGTATGTGAAAGGTTGGTTTTCGGTCAACTAAAATGTTTACCGAGAAAGATGTCATGTTTAAACTTTTTCAGAAGATTACCAAGAGTTGACTCCACGAAGTCTGCTTTTCTGCAATAATCTCTCTGTCAGTTGTTGAACAATCTCATTCTCTGACCTTGGCTTAGATAACATCTTACGTCACAAAAACACACCTCTTTCTGGTACATCCACGAATCAGAAAGCTCTAAATTGAACCGGAAGTCGACCCATTTAAAAATGTGGCAACTTCCCAGTTCATGTTAGAATTTGTTAGAATTCATGGGGAATTCATGGAGAATGGTGAAGTGAATGGAAGAGAATTCGAGAATTCAGGAGAGTCAGAGACGTTTTGGAATTATAACTTCTGTTTGAACAAACCACACACGACTATCTAAGGATTTCAGCTGCTCTCAACGGAGACGCTGAAAGGTCTGGAGGATTCTCTATCGAGCTGATCTATCATCAACCAGGTAACAGTCTCTTCTTCGACTAAAGTGTACCGGAGGCAAGCTGAGATCTGATGAAGCGTGCACGTTCTGGTCAAACAGATTAATTCCCTCACATAGTTCTCTGTAAGATAAATCTCCATTTCATCTTAAACTCTTCTCTCTCT